GCCAAAGCAGCTGCATCGTCTGAGAGTATCATTCCCACGGCTGATTTCGCTTCGTTTCTCAAACATGAATGAGTAGCGAAGCGAAATCAGTCGTAGGCATCCGATGATGAAGAACTTGCTGCGGCGCAAGAAACGACTAAAGTTCTTCTTACCGTGTCAATGCTGAACAATGCAGCGCTATACACGAAATTGGTTCCAGCCACTTGAACCAGGTGAGCCATCAGAGAGTCTAAGTATGGGAATGAGCGTACAAGAGTTGCACCAGGGTCAGAGGGGCAAAAACACCGTACCGGGGATGTGCACACCTCCCGTAGGACCTCTCCGATGACTGTCAAATAACCACAAACGACTGTCGCCTTCGGCCCTCCTGATTGCCATGGAGAATTCTCCGATAGTCAGCACCATATTAACTGCTGCTGTATCAATCTTTGTGAATGTATTAGCCATGAAGGCAGGAAACTCCGGGGCCACAGCCGACATTGCGTCGGCAGTTTCTCTATTCTTGTACTCGTAACATCCGTCTACGCCTGACAAATGGGAGACCTTGGCACCACGCCTCGCGATATTTCCCGCTATTGATCCCACAATGTCTTCGGACGAACAAAACATAGGAAGAGTTCGTACCTTTTAGGTGCTTGGTTACTGGTACACTCCCACTTTGCCATCTAAGTGTGTACTGAGTATATCCACAAACCGGAACTGACTTTGTTGTCGGTGTCCAGGACGAAGGATGGTATCAATATCCCGAGATGTCCATGTCTCCGGAAGTCCTCGGGAGGCTTGGTAAATCAAAGCTTCGTATGCCATTGTGGTACATTGACGGTTGGTGACAAATGGTCCTATGCTGCCTTGTGCCATCGTCCCCCGGACAATAACGTCTACAAAAAAGTACAAGAGGTAACAGTCGGCTCTTTCTTACTACAAATGCTGCTTCTTAAAGCAAAAACAAGAACATACTTTAGTTTTATTAGATCACATTTCTTGATTTAAACACCTCCATTTGAAAACTGTACTTTAGATGCAGGGATTATCTAAACTAAAGCTATGGAAAATCAAGAAATCTGAACCAGGTAACTTACCCTTGATGGACCCCAAAACGTGATAGCAGGCGACGGAAGGGAGATAACTCCATGGATTTGCTGAAGTTGTCTTGTTCCAATCCGACAAGCTGTGGTCGAATCACAGCGCAAACGGAGGCGAGGTTGATCCCAGAAATAGCCTTGATGCCGTCAACAGAATCGGCTGTGCTGGAAAGGACGTTTCTGTGGACCCAAAACAATTAATCTCTTTACTTCGTAAATCCTGTAAAACCACCTACCCTATACCGCGGAAAGGCGCGGAGAGTTTAAATTGAAGGTTCAGTCAGATCAAAATACCACTACATTATTAACCATATGCTACATTGTATTCGGTAAAGATGAACACAGTTTTCCGTACATAGAATGCGAGTGTTTCAGTTATAAGGGAGCATGCGTACTGGCGGTACCGTTACCATTTGATGACTTTTCCTGAAGAATTGTACGATGATAAAAACACATTTACAGACTATACTGTGGAATATGAAATATTCGTGGATACTTTCCTTCGTGGTTTCATATTTGGCACACTGTATGTTGTACAAAATTCTATAGGTGCAATTTTGATGCTATGAAGATCGTTTGGTGGTACAAATGTTCTCAGGATATACAAACAGCAGTCAATTATATAATCGGGGTCTTATGTAATTTAGAGTCGTTGTTTATCTTTGGCTTTCATAGCATTCACGATATTTAAACACAGCGAACAGTCCATGCTATACGGGTGTCTTGGTTTGTATGTGTTGCTTTGTTTCTTGAGGTTCTTCTAAATGTAGTCCACTCCGGATCCGCTTCCAATTGCATTTTGAGTAGACATACTCAGTACTAGTGACATTTAATGTAATAAGTAAATTGCCTACTAGTTCCGTTTAAAATAGGAGTGTACAATTTGTTAAATATTTCACAGGCCTGTATTATTCACAAGTACCAGAACGAATGCATATAATACAGTGTGTATAGTGTAAACACTCTAAGATACTATAGCGGAACTGAACTGGATCGATCGTCGGCGACCAGTTGTTTTAGCGTGTCACTCACTGCATCTGGCTCGTCGATTGGTCGATATAACGTTTGACATGTTGTTTGCGTGCATTGTCAACTTAAGATTACGCATACACGTATATGGAAATGTAAAATTTACATTGCATGTACATGTTTCAAACCATGTGTCATTACTTAAATGTTTCTTTAAATGTGTACTTATCCACATTTTTGTGGACTGTAATGGTATTTCTGATTACAAGAGGGCAAACTGAAGAATATTATACATGCTTGAAAGCTGTCCACACCGGCCGCTGAACTGAAAACTAATATCATAGAACATGCCTTTGTTTGATCTCTGTTGTTATTTTCTTTGTTTTGCTTATTTTAAGTAGCTCTTCGTTTGTGATCTTTTTTGGCCAAAATATCTTGTGTATTCTTCTCAGACAGCTGTTGTGAAAAGCTTCAACCTTTTGTAGATCAGTAACTATACTATTCTCCAGCATTCAGAACCGTACAGAAGAACAGATTTAACATTGCTGTTATAGATTCTTAGTTTGGTCTTAAGACTGTATTGGCTAGACTTCCATATGTGCTGAAGTCGTGCAAAAGTGCCTCGTGCTTTTGCAAGTCTGGCTTTGATATCCGTTGTCCTTACTTATTGCACTGCAAAGGTGAATGAAATCCTCAGAACTCTCAATTGGTGTATTGTTGATAAGAATGGATGTTTGGTTGTTGGAGTTGATGGTCATAACTTTTGTCTTCTAAGCATTTATGTTTAAGCCGACTTGTTTTGCATAGTTGTTTAGTGTGGTGTTTTTTTCCTTAAGGATGGTTAGATGTAGTTGATAATTCGGCAATATCATCAGCAAAGTCCAGATCTTCCAGCTGATTAAACATGTTCCACTGGATACCCCTACCTCTGTCTGCTGTTGCCAGTCGTTGTATCCAGTCGATGGCCAGTAAAAACAGTATGGGCGACAAGATGCATCCTTGCCTTACTCCTGATCTTGCTTCAAAGGAGTTGGAGATGGAATTTCCATGGATTATGCTGCATTCAAAGTTGGTGTAGAATGCTTTTATCATGTTCAATATTTTCTCTGGAATACCATATGATCTGACCATTTTCCAAAGTGTGTCTCTATGTATGCTATCGAAAGCTTTCCGAAAAACAATGAAATTTATGAACAGTGGTGTATTCCATTCAATGCAATGCTCGATGATGTTTCGGAGCGTGAACATTTGATCTATGCAGCCTCTGCCTCTCCTAAAACCAGCTTGCTCATCTCTTAGTTTTGCGTCTAGACTTTTCTCTATTCTGTTTAATAAGATCTTACTTGTGATGGACAATAGTGTTATGCTTCTCCAGTTGTCACAATTTCGTAAATCCCCTTTCTATGGTAGTTTAACTATAAAGCCTTTACTATCCAGTCAGATGGAATGCTGTCTTCTTCCCAGATCTTGCTAAAAAGGTTATGAATTACTTTTGAAGCTGTGTCCAGGTCTGCTTTCAACATTTCTGCATGGATGGAGTCAATGCCTGGTGCCTTACCAGTCTGAAGGCTTTTAATAGCTTTGATGACTAGTTGGTGCTTCTGTGTTGATGCTGATGTCATCCGCTGATGGATCTGGATTTGCCATGACTTCTGGTGCAGGACAGTTTAGTTTCTGTGAAATGTTCAACCCATCTGTTTGCTTGTTCTTGTTCTGTTCTTATCGGATTACTATGTTTGTCATTTACTACAGCTGTCTGGGCACTGCTTTTACCACAAAGTTGTTTTATAATTCTGTAGACCTTGCTTCGTTCACCACGGTTTGCTGCTTGTTCAGCTTCTCCTGCCAAAAAATGTCTATGTACTTTCTCCGATCTTTTCTTGCACTTCTTTTCACCTCTTTGTCTTTAGCTTTATATACATCATGTAGTTGGTCTTGAACACTTTCTGGTTTTGTGTTGACTATTTTTTGTTTGATGGTTTTCCTTTCCCCAATCTTTTGCCATGTCCCTGCTGTGAGCCACTCTTTGTTCTTTCGAGTTACATGGCCTACTGTTTTTTCTGCTGTTTCAGTGTAGATGTGCTTGATGGTGTCCCATTCCTCCTGTGCAGTGTCTCCTTTGTCTCTCGGATTTTGTAGGGCATTGAAGCGGGTTTTAAGTTCAATGCAGAAGGCGTTATTGACATCAGGTAGTTTTAATTTGTCAATGTCTATTCTTTTCTTGAATTTGTTCTGTTGTTGTGCTTTTCTGAGTTTTAGTTAATGACGCCTCTCAATAGATAGCTTAGATGGGTATGATCAATTTTAAGGAAACAGATACTATGTTGTACACTGCTTCTGAAATCAAGGACGACACCGACCTCAAATGTTCTATCGACCAATTGACGAGCCATATGCAGTGAGTGACACGCTGAAACAACCGTTCGGTTTGTGGGCGTGTTCTTTTTGAACACGGCTTGTTGACGCCATGACGATTTTGATTGTAAGTTATTTAAGTGAATGAGTTGTCGAATCTTACACCGTTCTAGTATATTACTTTTCAGTGCAGCGGCCGGTATGGACAGCTTTCAAGCATTTGTAATATTCTTCATTTTGCCCTCTTGTAATCAGAAATATCATTATAGTTCACGAAAATGTGGATAAGTACACATTTAACGAAACATTTAAGTAATGACACATGGTTTGAAACATGTACATGCAATGTAAATTTTACATTTCCATATACATGCATGCATAATCTTAAGTTGACAATGCGTGCAAACAAGTCTCCGAAAAAAATCAAGGACGACATCGACTTCAAACGTTCTATCGACCAATCGACGAACTAGATGCAGTGAGTGACACGCTGAAACAACCGTTAGGTTTGGGGGCGTGTTCTTTTTGAACACGGCTTGTTGACGCCGTGACGATTTTGATTGCGTAATATAAAATTAGGTAAAACTAAATTATAAATTAAACCATCCTTCGTTTGTTAGCTTCAATAATAAATTTACCTAACAAATTCAGTTTTGACAGGTAAAGACAGGTAAGCTGTCTCTAATTAATGTGTCATGCTGCTATACTGATAACTAGTCAAGATTATGCCATTCGATAAAGAAGTAACACTCGTCGCTCAAATATGTTTTATTTGTATGTTTTGCAGACGTGTTAAACCGTAAACTATCGACCGGAAGTGACAGCTGATGGGAACATGGTCAGCTTATCATCTTGTTAATAGGTAAGTAGGTTTCTTACTGAGCTGAACACTACACTATAATATACAAAAATATTCCACGCTTTATCAAAGATATGATTGAAATAAAGGTAACTGATTATAATTGCAGACAAGAAAATACAGCTGTATTAACTAGGGTCAACACTACAAGGTATGGACTCAAATCTTTCTCCTGCGAGCAGTCTCCCCAATCAACTCAGAAAAGTAGACAGATACAATGAATTTAGGAGACTGGTCCAGACCTGGGATGGCCCCATTTGCTCTTGTAGTGTCTGCCGCGGTGTGTAGTACATGTGACTAGTCCGCTTTGTAATGTCTGCCGCAGTGTGTAGTACATGTACAGGTGGCTAGTCCGCTTTGCTTCGTGTTTAATTATGTGTGTGTTTTATGCTGTTTCTTGGATTTGTGCGAATGTTTGTTCTTCTTCTTCTTATTTTTTCATTTAATTTATTTTATTACTATGTTCCGTTTGTTTTACATGTTGTAAATGTGTTTTATATATATTGCTGATAGTGGAAAATTGTAGTTCATAATGTCTGCCTTTATGTGTATGTGCTTTGCTTCAATGTTTTATGCTAATATGTATTTTATGGTAAACATTACTGACATGCTATATGTATGCATGTATATATATTTAGCTTATAACTTTGCATGGAGACTTATGTTTTAACACTTTCTGTTTCATAATGTTTTATATACGTAATTTCTTGAATAGATGCTTTTTACTTATGTTTGTCGGAATAATAGCTTTTAATAGCTAATATTAAATGTTTTTAAATATCTGACGTTAAATAAAGTTTATTGTATTGTATGATATTGAAGCTGCCCACTTGACTGCATCATTGGATGTTGGCCCGTCTTCTGTCCTAAAGCAATTCAAGTTATCGCTATTTCTCAGGAATTGGTTGATCTTTCTCTAATATTTGATATGAAGGTTCCCAATGGTCCTTAGATGGGTATGATCAGTTTTAAGAAAAATAAAAATAAAAGGCCGCCATACAGCCAGTACTTGATAGACCTTTTTTCAAATTTAAAATGTAGGTATTATTTTGAGATTTGAATGCTTTCTTCCCGATGTTACATTGGACGACGGCAGAAATATTTCTCATGAGTTCGGGGCCTCTTCCAGGACATAAACATATCCACGTGCGAGTAAGACTATGTTTTTGAACAACAGAATTGTATTTTGGGAAAGAGAATATAGTATTTTAACTGATGCTCAATTTGGATTCTGATCGGGTTTATCAACTGTTGATGCTATTTTTGTTTTACAAACGCTTATAAATAAGACCCTTCAAAACAAAAAAAGACTCTATTGTTGTTTTTGTCTCGCCGCGACGGAGGAGCGAAAGCGACCAGCGAGACTAAGGTGTTGCTTTTACCGACGACGGCGACGGCGTCAAACATTGCGTTTAGCTCAACGTTAAGTTTTCGTTATCTGCTTCTTAGTCAGTTAATAATGGCATTACGGTGTTGAAATTTTGCATGAAGGTTCTTTTGGAGTCTACCTTTTATATTATGAAGTCAAAGTGGGGATTGTTTTCATTATTTTCATTGTTTTTACATATTTTGGGTGATTTTGAATATTAGACATTCTTTAATAATTGTTAGATTAACTTCAAATTTTATACACTTAGTATACATAATACGGGTTTTTTGCTGAGATGAACACAACATTTTTTTTGGCAGAAAACATAGAATTTCGGGTGATTTTGAGAATTGGACATATCTTCTTTAATAATTGTCAAATTTACTTCCAATTTTTACAAACCTTCAGTATACACAGTACTTCAACATATAATAAGGGTTTTGTTTTGCTCAAATGACCACAACAATTACTAGTATTGGGGGATTTTTTGTGTTTTTGGCTAGCTAATGTTAAATTTTTGTTTTTTGCTCAGTAGGTAATGCGGTAATGCGGTGTACAACTCATTGCGGGTCAGAAACAGAGATTTGAAATGCTTGGCTCCATTTGTATTGCGGGTCAGAAACAGAGATTTGAAATGCTTGGCTCCATTTGTATTGCGGGTCAGAAACAGAGATTTGAAATGCTTGGCTCCATTTGTATTGCGGGTCAGAAACAGAGATTTGAAATGCTTGGCTCCATTTGTATTGCGGGTCAGAAACAGAGATTTGAAATGCTTGGCTCCATTTGTATTGCGGGTCAGAAACAGAGATTTGAAATGCTTGGCTCCATTTGTATTGCGGGTCAGAAACAGAGATTTGAAATGCTTGGCTCCATTTGTATTGCGGGTCAGAAACAGAGATTTGAAATGCTTGGCTCCATTTGTATTGCGGGTCAGAAACAGAGATTTGAAATGCTTGGCTCCATTTGTATTGCGGGTCAGAAACAGAGATTTGAAATGCTTGGCTCCATTTGTATTGCGGGTCAGAAACAGAGATTTGAAATGCTTGGCTCCATTTGTATTGCGGGTCAGAAACAGAGATTTGAAATGCTTGGCTCCATTTGTATTGCGGGTCAGAAACAGAGATTTGAAATGCTTGGCTCCATTTGTATTGCGGGTCAGAAACAGAGATTTGAAATGCTTGGCTCCATTTGTATTGCGGGTCAGAAACAGAGATTTGAAATGCTTGGCTCCATTTGTATTGCGGGTCAGAAACAGAGATTTGAAATGCTTGGCTCCATTTGTATTGCGGGTCAGAAACAGAGATTTGAAATGCTTGGCTCCATTTGTATTGCGGGTCAGAAACAGAGATTTGAAATGCTTGGCTCCATTTGTATTGCGGGTCAGAAACAGAGATTTGAAATGCTTGGCTCCATTTGTATTGCGGGTCAGAAACAGAGATTTGAAATGCTTGGCTCCATTTGTATTGCGGGTCAGAAACAGAGATTTGAAATGCTTGGCTCCATTTGTATTGCGGGTCAGAAACAGAGATTTGAAATGCTTGGCTCCATTTGTATTGCGGGTCAGAAACAGAGATTTGAAATGCTTGGCTCCATTTGTATTGCGGGTCAGAAACAGAGATTTGAAATGCTTGGCTCCATTTGTATTGCGGGTCAGAAACAGAGATTTGAAATGCTTGGCTCCATTTGTATTGCGGGTCAGAAACAGAGATTTGAAATGCTTGGCTCCATTTGTATTGCGGGTCAGAAACAGAGATTTGAAATGCTTGGCTCCATTTGTATTGCGGGTCAGAAACAGAGATTTGAAATGCTTGGCTCCATTTGTATTGCGGGTCAGAAACAGAGATTTGAAATGCTTGGCTCCATTTGTATTGCGGGTCAGAAACAGAGATTTGAAATGCTTGGCTCCATTTGTATTGCGGGTCAGAAACAGAGATTTGAAATGCTTGGCTCCATTTGTATTGCGGGTCAGAAACAGAGATTTGAAATGCTTGGCTCCATTTGTATTGCGGGTCAGAAACAGAGATTTGAAATGCTTGGCTCCATTTGTATTGCGGGTCAGAAACAGAGATTTGAAATGCTTGGCTCCATTTGTATTGCGGGTCAGAAACAGAGATTTGAAATGCTTGGCTCCATTTGTATTGCGGGTCAGAAACAGAGATTTGAAATGCTTGGCTCCATTTGTATTGCGGGTCAGAAACAGAGATTTGAAATGCTTGGCTCCATTTGTATTGCGGGTCAGAAACAGAGATTTGAAATGCTTGGCTCCATTTGTATTGCGGGTCAGAAACAGAGATTTGAAATGCTTGGCTCCATTTGTATTGCGGGTCAGAAACAGAGATTTGAAATGCTTGGCTCCATTTGTATTGCGGGTCAGAAACAGAGATTTGAAATGCTTGGCTCCATTTGTATTGCGGGTCAGAAACAGAGATTTGAAATGCTTGGCTCCATTTGTATTGCGGGTCAGAAACAGAGATTTGAAATGCTTGGCTCCATTTGTATTGCGGGTCAGAAACAGAGATTTGAAATGCTTGGCTCCATTTGTATTGCGGGTCAGAAACAGAGATTTGAAATGCTTGGCTCCATTTGTATTGCGGGTCAGAAACAGAGATTTGAAATGCTTGGCTCCATTTGTATTGCGGGTCAGAAACAGAGATTTGAAATGCTTGGCTCCATTTGTATTGCGGGTCAGAAACAGAGATTTGAAATGCTTGGCTCCATTTGTGTTGCCGGTCAGAAACAGAGATATGAAATGCTTGGCTCCATTTGTATTGCGGGACAGAAACAGATTTGAAATGCTTGGCTCTATTTGTATTGCTGGTCAGAAACAGAGATTTGAAATGCTTGGCTCCATTTGTGTTGCCGGTTAGAAACAGAGATTTGAAATGCTCTGCTCCATTTGTATTGCGGGTCAGAAACAGAGATTTGAAATGCTTTGATCCATTTGCATTGCGGGTCAGAAACAGAGATTTGAAATGCTTGGCTCCATTTGTGTTACCGGTCAGAAACAGAGATTTGAAATGCTTCGCTCCATTTGTATTGCTGGTCAGAAACAGAGATTTGAAATGCTTCGCTCCATTTGCATTGCGGGTCAGAAACAGAGATTTGAAATGCTTGGCTCCATTTGTATTGCGGGTCAGAAACACTGGTTTGAAATGCTTCGCTCCATTTGTGTTGCCGGTCAGAAACAGAGATTTGAAATGCTTCGTTCCATTTGTATTACGGGTCAGAAACAGAGATTTGAAATGCTTCGCTCCATTTGTATTGCGGGTCAGAAACAGAGTTTTGGAATGCTTGGCTCCATTTGTGTTGCCGGTCAGAAACAGAGATTTGAAATGCTTGGCTCTATTTGTATTGCGGGTCAGAAACAGAGATTTGAAATGCTTGGCTCCATTTGTATTCCGGGTCAGAAACAGAGATTTGAAATGCTTGGCCCCATTTGTATTGCGGGTCAGAAACAGAGATATGAAATGCTTGGCCCCATTTGTATTGCGGGTCAGAAACAGAGATATGAAATGCTTGGCTCCATTTGTATTGTGGGTCAGAAACAGTGATTTGAACTGCTTGGCTCCATTTGTATTGCGGGTCAGAAACAGAGATTTAAAATGCTTGCCTCCATTTCTAGGGCAGAAAACTTAGATTTTTGGGTGATTTTTAGAATTGGACATAATTGTTTTAGTAGTTGTCAGATTTAGTTTGATTTTTATACACAGTATTTACAGTAATTAAACAAATTTACTTTCAGAAAAATTTCATTGCACATATTTACCAGTTCCTATTAGCTACACCCATGAATGCATCTATCACAGTTTTCATGTATGCATGTGATAAAAGCGGAATATAATTATGTACCGGTACCGCTTTATATTTTTGGAGAAAATGCTGTCTTACTCATTAAAACCAGTGGTAAAACCTGTATTCGCAGCCTACCACATGGTTATGAAGATTCTCCTCTCTGACGGAATTTATTTGAAAATGCTATAAACATAAATCATGTGTGAAAACACAAAGTGGGTAACAGCGAGACATATAATTACGTGTAATTCTTGTATAGATTTTCGTAAAGTTCTCGATTTTATTGACAGAAGCAAGTTGTGGGGCAAACTTATTAATATTGGAATCCGAGGTAAATTTCTACAAAAATTGACTTTTATATCGTAATGTTAAGTCATGTGTTAAGATTAATGGAGTTTTTAGTGAGCACTTCTGTCATAATTCCGTCTTTTACAGGAAGAAGCTCTGTCTCCGATTTTATCTTATTTGTACGTAAATGATTTTGAAATTTATTTTATAAACAATAATTGTCCAAGCCTTGAACTGCAACTGATTAATCTTTTTCCATTTATGTATGCCTACGATATGATTTTGATGTCCGAAGGCTTGCAATCAATGCTGAATTGTTTAAATAATTATACAAAGGAATGAAACTTAGAAGTTAATACTGACAAATCTTAAACAGTTGTTTTTAGAAATGGCGGGAGACTTAAAAATAGCGAAATGCGGTATGATAACGATCAACAGTTAGAGATAGTAGACGAATTTAATTATCTAGGTATGCTTTTCAACTACAATAGTGAATTTCTTAAAACACCAAAACATGTTGCAGATCAAGGTAGAAAAGCTCTGTCTTCCTCAGTGTCAACATTACGTAATCATTGTTTAAATGTTGAAACCCGGTGCTCTGTTTTTGACTCGTACGTTAATAGTGTTTTGTGTTGTGCTTCCGAGGTCTGGGGTTTTCACAAATCACCCGATGTAGAAAAAGTACATCTCAATGTTTATAAGAATGTGTTAGGAGTTCGGAAAAACACTTCCAATGATTTGGTTTATTGTGAGCTAGGTAGATTTCCCTCAAATAGTACAAAGAAAGTTAAGGACTTTTAGATACTGGCTTAAGGTGAAACAGAGTGACATTTGTATATTAAAATCATGCTATGATGAATGTGTTAATGTAAATGATGGCTGGATAGTTCATTTTAAGCATGAGTTGCCTATATTATTGGTTCGGAATACATGTTCGAAAACGATTTACCTGTTGATGTTGCTTTTAAGATTATACAACAAAGAATTTTAGATAATTGTAGACAGAAGATGATAGTAAACTTATCAAGGTCATCTAAAGGTTATTTATTCCAGCACCTTATTGATAACTTTTGTCTTCAATTTTACTTATGTAAATCTATAGAACCTAAGTACAAACGCCTTATTACATGTCTCATAATTTAAATATTGAAGTGGGTAGACGGAACAGTGTTGTTCGGCAAAATAGATCATGTACTCGCTGTGCCTCTGGTGATATAGAAGATGAATTTGACTTCATTCTAAAATGTCCATTATATCAAGACCTTAGATGTATATATATCGAGCGATTCTATCACAGAAGTCCTAATGTTTTTAAGTTAACGAAATTATTGTGCTACGAGAAAACGTAGAGAAATCAATGTCTGGTATGGAAAACTACTTGTGTACTTTGTAAGCGTACTCTCCACTTAATCAATTTAAATTTGTATAAAAATCTCTTCATATTCAACCTATGAGTCGGGTAGGGGAATCGTCTCCGTGGATAGACCTCATTATCTACTAGAGATGTGATTATGCTTTTTTATTTACATGTATATTATTCTCCTAAAAAAGTCTATTGTTTTCATTGAAAACATTCACAATTTCAGAATAAGTGCAGTAGACAATAACATATTATTATAACACATATGGATGATAAAAGAATTGGAAAGAGGGGGTGGGGGGTGGGGGGGTATATGCGCATCTGTCCATATATACAAAGCTTCACGTGAATGATACAGCATTACCTGAATTTTTTTAACATGCTAAAAACATGGGTTAGCAAAGTAAAGATTTCAGATCTGCTTAAACAGGCTGTTCTATTTGTTATGGTCGAAAATGTACACAAACAGACTTAAGGAATATCATACAGATCAATACGATACACGTATATGATTTATACCCAAACCGATATTCTTAAAATTACTCCCAATGGGAATCTAAGTCGATGACTGTTTAACGTTTTTCATAAAAGTTTCCGGCAGATTGTCCATTAAAAAAAAATAGTGTAACCAAATCGCCCCAACAAGTTGGTGATCAGATATGAATTTGTTATCATATGTAAACATGTAATCGTATACGTGTTTCATATTTCATATTTCCCCCAAATTGTTTTTTCTATTTTTTCTATAGCATATCTTCTACATTATTTCACCTGAAGTAACCAGATTTGGTATGCAAGTACATCTTGGGAAGGCGGAGTATCGTGTATAACAAAATGTAGGTCAGTGCGACCTATGGTGAGGCCACATGGCGATGGTACAAGTAATAAAAAGCCACGTGGCAACAATACAGTTAAAACAATCACGATTATGTACAGATATCTTGAAGAGAGCTTTCTAAGTTACAGACATTGTGGATATGTCCACTAATTCAGATTTCTAGTTAGTCTCGAAGTTTAATGATGACCGGAGTCCGGATTAAATATATCATTGCTAAAGTGTGTACTTAAGCGAGGTCGGGATTAAAGATGTCCCGTGCCAAAACCTGTACTAAGCTTACAGGGCCACAAATCTAGCAGGATTTCAAAGCCGATGTTTCCTATTTTAAAATTAATTACACGGATATAGAATTGAAGGCCGAGTTCAAAGAGCTTCGGCGGCAGTAATAAAGCTTAATTTAACTCCATGATATGCCTTTGTGTGGTACGTGTAAAGGCTATAGATGTTCCATATCAGGTCTCTGCAATGGCAATTACCTTAGAGTATTGGAGCCATTTTGATGCTTACGTCATTTATCTTTTCTGTAAGTTCCGACACAGAATGCGCTGAAGTAATATGTCGGTACTATCAGCTTAAGCTTTGCAATTGAACTTAGTTCAATATCATGTTTACAAAGGTTACAAGTTCATTTTACATCGAGACCCAGTTGATGTTCTGGTTATACAGGTTTTCTGATTACACAGGTTCAACGTGCATAAACAATTTCCATTTCATACATGATTTGGTTTAAAAAGTGTTCACCATGGGTAGGGCATGACATATATAGCTAATGATTTTCTCTCTCTTTTTATTTTCAGATACTACATGGTCTAGGGTTCGTGAAGTCATTCCGTCATGAAGTATAAACAGAGGTTGGTAACGGCGGTTGTCATGGTTGCTGTTCTCGTCTGCGTAGCGACACTTTACAAAGTGGCGGCACAACTTATAAATAGATCCGCCAAAGACCGCGATGCTCCATTTAATGGCGTCGTCGCCGACTTGGCACGCGGAAGATATTTAGGTGGCGCCTTTGGAACATGTCCCTCAGAAAAGACAACCGCGACTTACATGGTGGACGATTTTTACGACAAAGTTAGGTTTACAAAAAACTCGAGAAATGGTTTATACATTCTTAACGAAACAGAAACTGCCTTTGCAGATCCTCGGACGAAGAAAATCCTGAACCAGACAGAGCCCTTAACTGTAATTGTTGTTCCGCATTCTCATAACGACCCCGGCTGGCTTTGGACATTACAAACTTACTACGACGTCCGGACCAAACATATTCTTTCCAACGCTGTCAAATTCCTCCAGGAAACACCTGATTTTCGGATGATCTGGTCGGAGACCATATTTTTAAAAATGTGGTGGCAAAATGCCAACCCACAAGAAAGGTCACAACTCAAGTCCCTTTTGAATAATGGTCAGCTAGAAATACTGTCTGGGGCTGGGTGTCCGTAGACGAGGCGACGACTCACTACACAGCCGTCCTTGATCAGTTAATCGAAGGTCATCTGTGGATTAAGGACACTCTTGGAGTAACCGTAAATACAAGCTGGTCAATTGATCCGTTTGGGTATTCTTTAACACTGCCGTACCTGTGGAAGAAGGCAGGCATGTCTAACATGGCAATCTTACGTATACATGGTGCTGTTAAAGCTTACATGGGAAACCGACAACTTCTTACATACCAGTGGCGACAGCCCTGGGATGTCCCCGGAGTCCATGACATCACATGTCATGTGGAACCTTATACCCTGTATAACATTGAGTACAGCTGTGGTCCAAACATGGAGCTTTGTAAACGGAAGGACTTTGCACGTGAGCCAGATTTCCCTCCTGAAAATAGTCCCCCACACGCTAATCATAAACTTGGCATTGTGACGCAGGATTTTGAACAACTCGCGAAATCAATTGTCGAACAATATCGACTTAAGGCGACTCAATATAGCCACAATGTTATTTTAATGCCGCATGGAGACGATTTTCGGTACGTCAGCTATTACGAGTGGCAACGGCAGTATACGAACATGAAGCGTCTCATCACGTTTGTCAATTCTAAAAAGGAGTGGAATGTGAAAATGAAATTTGGCACTGTGGGTGAATATTTTGATATATTGAAAAAAGAAATAAAGAAAGCAGAAGAAAATGGAAAACCAGAGCCGGTGATAACCGGAGATTACTTCACATATACCGACCGTGATCACGAATACTGGAGTGGATATTACACCACAAGACCTTTTGACAAAAGGATGATTCGTTCGTTATTGGAATTACTTAAAGTCACCGAAATTGTGACATCATATACAACTGCTCATTCACAACAGTATGGTCATGTGTTTGTGGGACTTCCGGAAGTGCTCGGAGCCCTTCAAAATGCACGGCGAACACACGGACTTGTTCAGCACCATGACGCCATAACGGGAACGTCTGCTCACCCAACAGTGATGGATTTTGAAAAAAAGGTATTCGATGCTATTTCAAAATTACAGCAGGTTCTAGGCAAGAGTCTTCAACAGCTTCTACTGACAAAGTCAAATCATGGACTACCCATAAAGCCGCTGTATATTCAGTCATCTCCCGAAACCACGCTCAGCCCAAAAGTTCTACATCTTAGCGAGAGCGGCTCTAGTCTTGTTTTTATCAATGGCTACACACAAAGACGAAAGGAAGTACAGAGTATCATTGTGAATACTCCAGACGTTGAAATGTTTGACGAAGGTGGTCATTCTATTCCAGTTCAGGTTAGCCCATACATTGGTGAACATACAGCGAAATATGGTTATACAACGGGAAAATTTATTATACTAAAGTATTATCAAGTATACTTTGAACTTTCTATCGCTCCAGTGTCCTGTGTATCGTATATTATCCAAAAGTCGAAATCGCCCTCTACGATAACGCCTACTGTTTCCATCTATAACGGAAAACTTCAACAATCAGGACCTTCGTTCTTTGATATTCGAGAACTCCAAGGGAATATCAGCGGGGTATTGAAGATAGAGACCCCTCATCTTGTAACAGAATTTTCTTCTATCAATGGAACTCTTCAGCGAATGTGTGAAAACCGTGATAAGGGCGTGTGTGCCGACCTGAAACTGGACTGGGTCAGTTACCAGACTGGAAACAGTAATGCGTACACGTTTGGTACTTCCGTTAAAGCGATACAGAGCCTTCTTGGAGTAACACGCCCGATTATAGTGATATCTGGTAAACTGGTATCTCAAGTAAGAATCAGTCATGCCCACTTCCAGCACGTCGTTACGTTGTATCATAACGAAGGTGTTCAGGGTAAGGCTGTGCACATCGATAATGTTGCCACGCTAAACCCTAAAATGAATCCGGATGTGGAACTAATGATGAGGTTTGAGACGGATATCGTAAATGAACATGGTCGATATTTCACAGACTCGAACGGATTCCAATTAGTCAGTAGACTATATAGAAGCGAACTTCCTATTGGTGCTAATTTTTACCCAATCACGTCAATGATGGTACTTGAGGACAAGTCGCGCCGCCTGACTCTACACGCCGCCCAGCCTCATGGCGTAGCCAGTCTTGGGGATGGACACATCGACGTGATGATGGAACGTATACCAATGAGTAAAGGAAAGGGTCTAGAAGAAGCAGTTCTTGACCAGAAACCTGCCCCCAGTAAAATGCTTTTGTCGCTAGAACACGCTTCCTCTTCGAGACCTTCCCAACTTGGTAACAAAGACTTTGTCGAGTTCCCGTCTCTCACTGCACACCTACTAAACGACCACCTACAGAATCCTATACAGACTTTCATGATAGCCCGTGTACAGTCTTCCCTTAAACCCGTTCTCACCATGTTACACCATACCCTCCCGCCTGACGTCATCTTCTCCAACGTCAAGACAATGATGACGGATGGTCTGGCATTCTCTGGAACAGGAGTGACGCTTTACAGGAGAAAAAGCTCGTGTGTGTTCATGGATGGTGACGTCAGTAAAGCACCGATCAACCTTAAAACACTTTTTAAAAATGTGGACATCGACCAGCTGGATAAGATGGCCTTAACTCATGTGCATTTAGACAAACCGATGACAGGACAACAAAATATTCACCTCGAGCCAGGCGAAATGGATTCCTTTTACATCAGATGGAAATAAGACTAAAGTTAATTGAACGTGGTGGTCGTGCAAGATTCGTCAGTTATAAATATTGATGTATCGGGGTTTTACTTTATACCACAAACTTGTACCTATCAAGCGTGTCGCGACGTTTTAAGACCGACTGGTCCGTTGTGAAGTTATGACTTTAAAGTTTCGACACGTTTGATATGTACAGTGTTTGTGTATAAATTAAAACAGTTGTTGAGTCTATGTCTTCATGTTCAAGTTGTGAGGATATTACGTTATATTAACTACTGATCGTTGCTGAATACCAGTCAAGTTTTCTACACGGTTGTTATGTAGGGTTTCAAAGTCACCGGATCACCTGTTATGTTGTGACTAACAACGCCATTTTTCGCTCTCGTGGTTGAATATCGTGAGCTGAATATAAAATGTTCTCTATGGCAATTACATGTAAGTTGTAACAGTATGAAATTGAACTCTATTGCTCAAACCGTGTACAGGATAAATAAGGGATTGGAGTCGGATGAAACAATATTTAGTAGTAATTCTGATGATAAAACATGTATGACCCTTATGTTGTTGAACGTTGATTAAAATGTCCAACGACGAAGAATATGTATTCAGTAACTCCTCCCTAGTGATACACGTGTATTATAGGTCTTCCCTAGTGATACACATGTATTATAGGTCTTCCCTAGTGATGTACGTGTATTATAGGTCTTCCTTAGTGATGCACGTGTATTACAGGTCTTCCCTAGTGATACACGTGTAGTATAGGTCTTCCATGGTGATGCACACGTATTACAGGTCTTCCCTAGTGAAATACGCGTATAACATGTCTTCCCCAGTGATACACACGTATTACAGGTCTTCCCTAGTAATACACTCGTATTACAGGTCTTCCCTAGTGATACACGCGTATTACATGTCTTTACTAGTGATACACACACATTACAGGTTCCCTGGTGATACACGCGTATTGCAGGTCTTCCCTAGTGATACACGCGTATAACAGGTTCCCTAGTGATACATGCGTATTGCAGGTTTTCCCTAGTGATACACGCGTATTGCAGTTCTTCCCTAGTTATACATGCGTACTACAGGTCTTTCCTAGTGATACACGTGAATTACAGGTGTAAGGTGCGTCGCCCATCATAGTACACAACATGTAAAATACGTGATCAAAACCTGCGAAGTAAGTATGCATACATCTTTATTTTGAACAAAGCCTTTATAAGATACATATGCACATTCCATTATCTGTTCTGTTTAATTACGAAAAAATAGAGGAAAAATGGGTCTATAATCGCTTTAAATGTCACTCGATATTGATTTCATGATCACTGGGTTTCAAAAGGTTTCTGTTATGCTTGTTTCAGTTTTTTAATTGCGAGATAGTCAATTCGATTGCTTTCCCCGCGTTTATAACTCAGATCGATGATTTACCTACATTTGTTTAGGAAATAGCAATGAGCAGTGACCGAATATTGTCGAGGATACATTCCTGTGACCATAGGACGCCTTGTCCAGCAAGCACTCGGAGGACGCGGAGGGTGACTTGATACGAAATCCGATTACATATGTTTTCCGTACACGTATTTTGTATTGTGGAGAGCTATGAGTTGCTGGCTCTCCCTGCCTTGTTCTCGTATCCGTATATGTTTGAAAGTGTCACTTTGTTGTATATATTTGATTCGATAGATTGTTTTTATAAAGAGATTTTTTGTTATAAAAAAATATTTATAGATTTTATCCAGACTGTTAAATAAAATGATCTTTATAGTGTTATTATAGATTTATAGAGCCCGGTAAGTTAGGTGATGAAGTGAAGTGTTCATTATACAATTTGGTAGGCCTACACTAGGCTAGTCAAACTACGGTTTGGCCCTAAACTAATTGCAACAAAAAGAAACTCAACTGAATCACAAACATTATACATCCATTAACCTCCTACAAAAGTCGGGCAGCCAAAAAATTCGGGAAGTGACTTTTTAACCCGATTGAAAATTGCACTTTCTGTTGTAACTTTTATGGCATGTTTTGGCGTCCGTTGACTAGCCTGGTAGCCGTAGACCATAGAGAGTTACCAAAGAGAGATAATGTCACTATGCAGACGACGCTTTTCGCCGACATATTTTTAATATTGGTGAGTACACAACTGTTGTTTTTGGCTTATGATAACTACGTTTTGCTTAAAAATATATAGTTTGGTGTTTTCAACATGAATCAACATACATTGATACGTTATTATAGTATACCATCCGGACTTGCTCATAGCCAGCGGACTTGTTTACATTTTCTCGGATGTTTCAGAGTAATGAAAACGTATCGAGATTCTCCAGTACATTGATTAGCCTATACCTGTACATGTTTAATGATTTATAGAGAGTGTTTATAAATTGTATGTATTTATATGACGTGCAAATGAATCACCGTTTCTTTGCGCATCTTGGAGAATATGTTTGAACGGAACTGTGTTGCATACCCTCATAAATGTTTAAAAAAATGCATTTCAAACCTTATATTTACGTTCTATTACATCCACTTTTATTATTTGAAATTAATAAAAAATAAAAAATATAGAGTCTTTTTCACGATTAAAAGCAAAACACCGTCAGTAAAACAACATTTATTGAACAGGTTTTTTCGCGGGAAAGATGATGCGTTGTTAACGGTGACGAAATACACAGATTTAATTTATATCACCAGCATGTTAAACACGCATTGATTATCTTAAAAATTGACAGTAGATCTTAATTTAAAACAAAAATACCAGTAGTAGAATATTTTAGTTGCAAAAAGTCAGAAATTCATTCCGTGTTTACGGAGACAGCTGATAGTTAAAAAAACGGTTGTGCAGCGACTACGTATACGCTCATCATGCCCCGAAGCGAAGCGGTTGGACTTTCAACGAGATAGAAAGTGCATCACCAGATGACGATTGAAAAGATGTTGTTGGCTGAATTCTTGTGTCGATCGACTGTGTCAACAGGCCTAGGACTAGCTCATCGTTTGAGCATTCGGCACTGTTACTATCGTCGCTGAGGGGACTGGCCGACGAGCCGGGACGTTTTCACCTGCGCTAGTGTAGAGGACAGCGAATGATTTAGGATCTAATAGCAGACACGCTTCGGTGGCCCGACATCAACATAATGTGCATTGATTCAAAACCACAGTCATTCCGTATTCTATAGACACGTCCGCGACGTCGCTGTCAGACATAGTGGCTCGAGGTCAGGGGTTTGTTGACAAATGCCTGTGGCTGGAGTAAGCACACGACGTATTTTAGACGCTGAATACGCGAACTTAAAATTCTTTAAAAGAGTGATTTCTTGATAATATCGGTAACGGTACACGTAGTACTGTTAATGTATCTACACACTTGCTTTTATTGAATCATGCAAACATTTTGAGTTGGTACTGTTATCTAGAGGCACTGCAACACAAATGTAAAAATATGACGTTAAATGACGTTAAAATTAATCGCTATTGCGTGCACGTATATCGTGGTATTTTTATATGACGTGTAAATGAATCATTTTGACATGCGGGTGTATCGTGGTTTGTTTATATGACGTGTTCATCAATCACTATCACATGCAATTATATCGTGGTATGTTTCTTGGAAATGATAGTGAATCATTGCAACACACATGTACCGTGGTATGTTTCTATGACGTATATGACGTGTCAATCAATGATTACATACACGTGTATCGTGGTGTGTTTCTATGACGTATATGACGTGTAAATCAATGATTACATACACGTGTATCGTGGTATGTTTCTATGACGTATATGACGTGTCAATCAATGATTACATTCACGTGTATCGTGGTATGTTTCTATGACGTATATGACGTGTAAATCAATGATTACATGCACGTGTATCGTGGTATGTTTCTATGACCTGTAAATCAATGATTACATACATGTGTATCGTGGTATGTTTCTATGACGTATATGACGTGTAAATCAATGATAACATACACGTGTAACGTGGTATGTTTGTGTGACGTATATGACATGTAAATCAATGATTACATACACGTGTAACGTGGTATGTTTCTGTGACGTATATGACGTGTAAATCAATGATAACATACACGTGTAACGTGGTATGTTTCTATGACGTATATGACGTGTAAATCAATGATTACATGCACGTGTATCGTGGTATGTTTCTGTGACGTATATGACGTGTAAATCAATGATTACATACACGTGTATCGTGGTATGTTTCTATGACGTATATGACGTGTAAATCAATGATTACATGCACGTGTATCGTGGTATGTTTCTATGACCTGTAAATCAATGATTACATACATGTGTATCGTGGTATGTTTCTATGACGTATATGACGTGTAAATCAATGATAACATACACGTGTAACGTGGTATGTTTGTGTGACGTATATGACATGTAAATCAATGATTACATACACGTGTAACGTGGTATGTTTCTGTGACGTATATGACGTGTAAATCAATGATAACATACACGTGTAACGTGGTATGTTTCTATGACGTATATGACGTGTAAATCAATGATTACATGCACGTGTATCGTGGTATGTTTCTGTGACGTATATGACGTGTAAATCAATGATTACATACACGTGTATCGTGGTATGTTTCTATGACGTATATGACGTGTAAATCAATGATTACATGCACGTGTATCGTGGTATGTTTCTATGACGTATATGACGTGTAAATGATTACATGCACGTGTATCGTGGTATGTTTCTATGACGTATATGACGTGTCAATCAATGATTACATACACGTTTATCGTGGTATGTCGTGTAAATCAATGATTACATACACGTGGATTGTTTTACATTAACCTTGTTTTATCGCAGTTTCTAGTTTACTTTTTATTTTGTACTAAAACTTGTGTATTTCGTTTGGCCGGTCTTGCGGAAATATGGTTCTGTATTATAATTTAAATTCTGTTATAAACTGGTTCAACGGTTATTTTTATTATAAATATGATCCATGCGAATTGTAGAAGCTAAATTGCCTCCCAGCAATATATATTTACATCGCTTACACGTATGTTTGTCATTAATGTACGTAATACAATAACTCCAGTTTAAAAATATATATCTGCATTTTGCCTTAAGTAGGCAATGATGAATTGGTTACATGTCATGCACGGCTCACTTATTATGTAGAGTTGCAGCTGTGGTCTAATTTTGATCCACATGATTATTTGAAGGTTTTTTTATTTGTCATGAGGTCGACGTAAAAATCTTTTGTCAAATTCCAATTCAAATTAGTTTATTATAGTGTCGCATATAAAAGGTACAAGTATTACAATCTCTATAATATAAAAATAATTGACATTAAAAGACACATTACTACTTAATTATAGAGCAAGTTGCAACGTCGATTAAGAATATTAAAACAGGTTTTGGCACAGGACCTCGCCAATTAAGGGATGCTTAGAATTACAACTAACTTTTCAACTTTACTCATAGTGTAAAAATCACTTGTGATATTACTGGGCTCCTGCAACAGACCCGATCGGAGATCATCATACATTCGAAACACTTTCTTTCACTCAAAGGTATTCTCTCATACCGGCCTGTTTCGATGCGTATCGGTGCAACCCCACACCTAAACTTAGCTAGCGTACTACGACGGGATTTAGACATTACTAACATATCATAGTTTTCTACATCATAGTTAAACTTAAATAACATGTACGTACGTAGTTTGTTACCTCCAGAAACAAATTTTGGTTCCGGGACGATTAAGTTCCCTTTTCAAATTTTCAATAAACAATTCCAAGCCACGGACCTTAACGTCCTTAAGTATTTTTTTGTCATGTGAAATATGTGTAGGTCTTTATTCATTTTATCAACTGTTTATCGATGTAGTTATGGTACTACCTTCTCTGTTATCAGCAACGAGACAAGTACTACAGTTTATATACGATGTAACAGATACACTGATTAGTGTTTTAATTGATTCAAAACGATACAGTAAACAGTGCTTCGAATAATCGCTTTGAAATACGAAGTAAGAAAACATCAGCAATTCGAAATAAAATACCAAACAAATTGACTTCTGACTGCAACAAATAATGTATATCTTAACCTAGAATTACAAGGTTACGGCCAACCTCGGGGACTTGCACTCCTCCAGCAGCGTCGTCCATGTTGTGCCGTAATATGATAACTTTAATACGAAGAAAGAAGCGTATATATAAAATAATCAGTAAGTAGAATGAGGAAGTCATGCTAAGTAAACATTTAACTAGACTGTATGACCGTTACCTCTACTTAGGACTATGAGGGAGGAGGTGCCAACAAAACAATTAATAAAACAAACCCAACGTACAGCGTTTACCTTCAACAGATGAAATATAGGTAATGATATAGGTGCACTGAACACTTCGTGTAAAACATAGACCAACAGGTAATATATAGGTACAGTGAACACTTCGTGTAAAACATAGACCAACGGGTAATATATAGGTACAGTGAACACTTTGTGTAAAACATAGACCAACAGGTAATGATATAGGTACACTGAACACTTCGTGTAAAACATAGACCAACAGGTAATATATAGGTACAGTGAACACTTCGTGAAAACATAGACCAACAGGTAATATATAGGTACACTGAACATTTCGTGTAAAACATAGACCAACAGATAACATATAGGTAATGCATTAGGTACACTGAACACTTCGCGACAAACATAGACCAACAGATAATATATAGGTAATGTTATAGGTACATTGAACACTTTGTGTAAAACATGGACCAACAAATAGTATATAGGTAATGATGTAGGTACACTGAACACTTCGTGTGAAACATAGACCAACAGGTAATATATAGGTACACTGAACACTTCGTGTAAAACATAGACCAACAGATAACATATAGGTAATGAATTAGGTACACTGAACACTTCGTGTAAAACATGGACCAACATATAATATATAGGTAATGTTATAGGTACACTGAACATTTCGTGTAAAACATAGACCAACAGACAATATATAGGTACACTGAACATTTCGTGTAAAACATAGACCAACAGACAATATATAGGTACGCTGAACATTTCGTGTAAAACATAGACCAACAGGTAATGATATAGGTACACTGAACACTTCGTGAAAAACATAGACAAACAGATAACATATAGGTAATGAATTAGGTACCCTCAACACTTCGTGTAAAACATAGACCAACATATAATATATAGGTAATGTTATAGGTACACGAAATGTTCAGTGTACCTATAACATTACCTATATCTTATATGTTGGTCCATGTTTTACACGAAGTGTTTAGTGTACCTAATTCATTACCTATATATAGGTAATGAATTAGGTACACTGAACACTTCGTGTAAAACATAGACAAACAGATAACATATAGGTAATGAATTAGGTACACTGAACACTTAGTGTAAAACATAGACCAACAGATAATATATAGATACACTGAACACTTCGTATAAAACATAGACCAACAGATAATATATAGGTACACTGA